CGGGCTGAGCAGCACTTTAGTTCTGGTTTTCTCAGGTGATTCAGGAGAAGTCCTTGCCATTTCATGCAGTCTCTAGGAAATGACTGTGTCTGCTTGGGGCAGTCTCAGTTTTGCAGAGGCTCGGATGGAATTCCAGAGGACTCCGGAAAATACTCGAAACTTCTGGGTGCTCATCGATAGTGGAGTGTCCTGTAAATCTGTGTTTCTGGTGTCCTCAATCTTAAAGAGGGATGAGATTAGATTATATAATCTCATGTGGAGTCACTCCATTTCTGGGTACTGCCGGTGTTTCAACAGATGCTCGTTAAGTGACTCACAGACTAATATACAGAGCTGAGCAGGGTTCTGCCTCAACACTTTAAAGTGAAGATGGAAACAGGTACAAAATGAAGGTTAAGCTTCTGCTTTTAGAAACCCATCGGGCGTCTTTAGGCCCAAGTGAAGAGTCACTTCGTGTGTGTGTGTGTGTGTGTGTGTGTGTGTGTGTGTGTGTTTAGCAAAAGGTTTCAAATTCCTGGCTGCTGTAAGCAAAAACACAAGGCCTCTAATAACTAACAGCTTATGGGCCCAGGAATTGGTTTGCCTTTTGTCCTTATGGTGGTTTCTGACTGTCTTACTCATAGAAAACTAACAGCACTGTAAACAAAGAGAGGTTTAGATTTCTCTCCTGAGAAATAGTTCAGGGGTCTACCTGTGCTGGTATTTGTTTAGCTGGTTGGTGATGGCACCAACTCCTGGAGTCTGTCTGTGCTGCTGTTTTGTTTGTTGCCTGTTGGCCACAGAATAGTTGCTGCAGATGCAAGCATCACATCCACATGCACACAGATGCCTCTATCTGCAGGGGAGATCGGGAAAGTTATTAGCGCTGCATCCTGACGGAGGAGTTTCCTTAGTAGGAAGAGCCAGGGCATAAACCATGCTGAATTTTCTCTTTCTTCTGCTAATTGTGTTCTACATGTAATATTGATTCATTTCATTTTACCACCGGCATAAGCCTTTTAGTATTTTAATGTAGGAAACTAGATGTCTTATAAGTAGAGTGTTGGAAAATACCCCGTATGTTTTGCTTCCAGATAAGGGAATAGAGCCATTCTTCAAGATAGTTTCTGGGGGAGGTTTAGGAAAAGTGAAGAGTTTTTTGAATAAATTTATTTGGAATCATATATTGACATTAATAAGCTTGAGAAAGTATCTAAAACAAATATTGCAAAGGTTTTATATCTCTAAAGATCTCTTATGTGTAATACAGAACTTGCCCAAGTAGTGCCAACAGTTGTGCTTTTACATACCAAATTATTCCTATAAACAGTTGTGCCCATTTTAGTCACTTTATTGTCATGAAGACAAAATACCTAGCACCTAGTGTCTACAGGAAGAGAGGTTTGTTTGGCTTATATTTCAGACATCAGGCTCAGCTGGCTGCCAGCAGAAATGGCACAGGGGAAGGGCCTGGCGGAGCAAGCCTACTCAGGTCTACTCAGGTCATGATGGCTGAGAAGAAGTGAGTGGGGCTGGGAAGATAGCTCAGTGGTCTAAGTGCCTGTCTGGCAAGCACAAGGACCCCAGTTCAATCCCTGGTACCGCAGGCCCCGTGCTGGCCCTAGAACCCAGAGTGTGTCACATCAGCCCCAAAACCAGGCGTGGTGGTGCATGCATGTAATCCCAGTGCTGGAGAGGCTGAGACAGGAGGATCACTACAAATCTGAGCTATGTAGCGAGACCCTGTACCAAATAAATAGATAAATAAATAAATGCATAAATATTTGTGTGTGTGTGTGTGAGAGAGAGAGAGAGAGAGAGAGAGAGAGAGAGAGAGAGAGAGGAGCTGGGGTAGGAGACAGGCCCCTCCAGGTGTCTCCCCATGACCCACTTCTTCCAATCAAGCAGAACTCCCAACAGCACCTTCAGCTGTGGATTCCTCAACAGATTAATCCACAGATGAGCACAGCACTCTCTGTGACCAATCACATCTTTTAGGGCACATTCCCGAGCCTGGTCCTGGGCTGTCACCAGCATCTGGTGACATGGTCCTTTGCTACTGAGTAAACACAAGGTGTATGAAAATATAATCAGCCTTAAAGCAGTAGGGTGCTCACCCTGAAACTCATCTCTGAAGACACTTCCCCTACTGAAATAATTTAGAGTTGTGGGTCATCTGTACCGTGGGAACATGATTTTTCTAAAAAAACTTTTATTTGCTCAAAAATATCTGGAAAAAAGAACTATCTTTGGAGAACAGTTACGTTTTAAGTGAACTCTCCATAGTTTCAATGTACTATTAAGTTATAAATAAAAGCACAAGCTGTTTATATCATGTTATTTCCATTTGGTCACAAAGAGAAATATTTGTTTACTTTCAAGAAATAGTGTGTGCCAGACCTCATCAGCAGATATTTGTAGATTAAAGGGCCACATGGCATTATAAATTATTTTTAATACTGTCAAATTTTCCTTCAAAGAATATAGATAATTTTTATAAGTATAAAAATCTTTGTTCATTAAAAAGATGAAATAAAAATGAGCATGTTTGCTGAGAACCTGGTTGTAAGCAGTCATGAGAGAGGAGGTGCTTTGACCCAGGGCTTTGGGCTGGCTATTGAGCCGTGGGAGAAGAATGTCGTATTGATGGAGGAGGGAAGGCGTCACCGGACACATTGCTCTCTGGAGTTCCGGCTTTTCTCAGTCCTGCCATCAAGAGAACGTTTCAAAGACCTTGTCACAGTAGCTCATTCTTCTGCATTTTTTCCTTCTTTTCTAAAGGTTTCTGTTTGTCTTTTCTGTGATATAGGCAGGGCTGAGGTCATGAAGGCTGTAGCTACCCATAGGAAGGGGAGGAGCCTCATCTAAAGAAGTCGTTTGCCTTCATCCGTGCTCGTGCCCAGGGCTAAGTCATGCAGGCCTGGGGAGGTCGCAGTCTCAGCGTATGAGCACCCTTGTTGTTCCATGTGAGTAGAAAGCAAGGTCTACATGTTTTTGAAGTTGCCCATGTTTCTCCCAAAATAAGACCTACATGGAAAACAGCTTTGGAAACTAGAGATCAAAAACGTCAGCTTCAGTCAGCCTATCCTTGTCTTACCTGCCAAGACTATTTTCTTGCCTCTAAGACAGGTAAATTTTCTGCTCCAAAGCCTGTGCATTAATACATACGTGCATGACTGTGAACACATGAGTGCATCTTACCTTCTCCATGCTCTTGTAATATATCTCTGTGGCCACAATGAGTAGCCAGGATGGACATTTCCCCTGAGGCCTTTCATCATAGCCCAAATTGAGCCCAGCTCTCAGGTACCCAGGGTGGGGCGCATGAGTGCTCCAGAAATACTTGGTTGTGATTTGCTGCTTGGAAACCCATGAGGTAAGCCACATGCTTACCTTATGAATTAGCATAATTACCATAAGCATGATCCTTATGAATTCAGCTTCAATTTTATTTTGCATTTCTTGCCAAGTATTTGCACAGACATCTGAGATTCCTAAACTGGGGTATGGTCGGTCCTAGATTACACTAGCTGAGTTGGGGGCCCTTGAAGCTTGAGCATCTCTGAAAGATCCAGCATGTCTGTCCCTTGACTTCCTGGGAGTCCCTGTCATGGTTAGCCCAGGGCATTGGCACATGGAAGCAAGACTTCCTCTAGGAGCTTTGTTTTTATGCATTTGTTTAATTCTCTTTCTTTACATTTAGGTTAATCTCAGAGCCATTGCTTTGCTCTTGCCAGTCAAGCCGTTAGGTAGAATGAGGGTCGGGAATAGGAAGTTGCTGCTGTACAGACAGTGAAATGCGTAGTGGGGTTTATTGGAATCCAGAGTCCTCACAGGCAAGGATGTGACTTCCTGTGAAGACAGCAGCCCTCTCTTCACTTGGAATCCAGAAGTGGCCTTCTTCTGAACAACGAAAACTCACTTATGTGAAACAGATATTCTTCCTACTCTTTGGTTTATTTATACACATCAGAGAGAAGTCAGTGTTGGAACATTCTTTATCTTGGAGTTGATAATAAAAAAAAAGGTGTCAGGCTCTATTATGCCCTACAGATATTCAAAATCCAGCTCCTCCCCAGAACGCTAGCCACTTACACAGGCCGTCTAATAAATGTCTTAAGTTACTTGCCCAGAATTCAGTGCTTGATTGCACAACCCAGGCATCAACTGTCCTCCAAGTTTCTACTGTTGGAGAAGGGGCTTCCCATCTACCCGGATGTCCAGGCAGAACTTCTCAGTTATCCCTGATTCTTTGCTTCCCTTTTACCCACAGTGTCAGTAATTCCTGTTGGCCTGGCCTCCAAATTCTATCTCTAAGTCCCTCATGTGTCCCTATCACTGTCATTATCTCCTTCCTTGAATCAGTCTTTTAAGGTCCCTCCTTGTTTGCTTGGGCTCTGCTTTCTACCAAGCAGCAAAAATTATCTTTCCTAAAAATATTAATCAGATATGGTTACACCTACGCTGTATGCCGAGGTAGATCTGGTGCCTCCCTTGTCTAATGCCATTCATTAATTTTCCATAGCAGTGAGATGAGAATCGTTACCCCTTACTCTGGTTTAAAAAGTCCTTTGGGGGTCTGCTCCCATTCAGAGGTCCCATGTACCTGATATGTGTCAAGCCACTGAAGTGAAAGCCTTCCTCCTTCCAGGAGGGACCTTCCCTTGTCTCTCCATAGCTTTCTCCTAACATTTACAGCAAAATATCCTGCTAAATCTTACCCCTCCTGGAGGTCTTTCTTGCTCATCTGATGATACAAGCCTCCACCCAGGCAACATTGACCTCATAACCCTTCTAGAATTTATAACAACTGTTCCTACCACCAGTGCCTTGAGTAGAATCTGAGGTCTATGAGTCCAGAGGTCTTACCTACTCTGACACCTTTGTGTCCCTAAGAACCCAGATGAGGTTGGTGTTTGGTGTGGTGTGGGTTGCATCCTCAGCTGTTTTTCCTTCGATGTAGATTACAGTTTTCTCAAAACCTTGGCACCAGTAGATTATTTTTCTGTCTGTTCTTACAGGAGACTGGACTTTATGAATATAAAGTCTTTGGTATTTTAAAGGACTGCCCACCAGCTCTGCTTGTAGATGTCTATATGGATTTAGACTACAGAAAACAGTGGGATCAGTACGTTAAAGGTAAGTGACATCTACTTTATTAATGAAAAATTAGAAATTAGAACCTATTGCAATTGATTCTGGCCAATGGAAAGGAAGATTTCATTTTTGCTAGTTTGTGCTTCCTTTTAAATTTTGGCACAGATGACATTTGAATGTGGGTCTGAAATACAGCATCGCTGTTCCTGGCCCTTGCTCCTGACATCCTTTGTTAGGTCTTCTCGGCAGCTTGTGCTTGGAGCTCTTTTGCTTTGCCTATAAAGCCATGTTCTCTTCCCACGTGGCAGGGTGGTCATGGGAGGCTCCACGGAAGAGGTGCATCCAAGCTTTCAAATCAGGCAATCAGTCCGCACATGCGCAGAGGTAGAAAGGGAGGGGTGAATGGTCTGAGAATCTCAGGTGAAGGGAAGAGCAGCAGGACTGAGGGCAGAAAGCAGAAGCAGTGTGACCAGAGAGTACCAGCAGTTTGGTGCTGCTTGGTTGGCTGTTTTAGCAGAACCAGCCCCAGCTTGTATACTACTTTGGAGTATGGTGCTCCCCTTAGGAGCCTGGACAAAGGACCAGATCCCCAAGGGCCTAGCGTGGTTCTGGCTATGGATCTTAAACTTTATACCACAAGCTGCACTGTGAGGGGCATTAAACAGGGCCTTTCCCTGCCACTCAGAGCTGGGAGAGGCTTCCGCAGCTAAGGCTCAGTGGTGCTGACCTGCAGAACTCTCCACACGTAGTCTTTAGTGAGAACACCTGGCTGCACCCAACAAAAAGCCAACCAAAGACAGCATAAAGAAACTACAAAGAGTTTATTGCTTTATGGCATCAGAAAGTGCAAGGCTTTCTAGCTCCCAGGTCAGTCATTTTTGAATAATTCCATCAGAACATTTCCGTCTTCATCTCTAGACTGTCTTCCTCTGCGTTCACCTGGTTCTCAGACCCTTTGTCCACACAAAGAATGTCTTCTGGATGATCCAGGCTTATATTCTAATGAACCAAATGACCCCAGAGGAAAAAGAACTCTTGTGATGGCGGCCAGAGTACCAAGATTGGCTCTGGGCAGCGTGATGGCTTCGAGCACGTGTTATTTCTTGTGGACATCTCACGTGGTTCCCAGCAACTTGTTTTCAGACACCCTTGCTACTCAGGGAGCATAACGATGCTCATTCAGGAAGCTGGCTGATTTTCTGTCCCAAGCAGCCACAGTGGTGGCGTAGGACACAGGACTCTGCCAGCGAGACCCACACGTGGCTTCAGTTTAGAAAACCGCAATATGAGAAAGCAGGCAGCAGGTGAAATCCTCCATCCTCCGTGAAAGCTGAGGAATCTGGCTTTCAAGAAGAGGATAGCAGAGCCCCTGGGCTCTGCTTCCCAGCACATCGGCAGCCGGTGCCGTGGTGTGTGGCCCTTTAGCAGCTGCGGGTGGCTTTGTGGGAACACCCTCAGGTCCTGCACCTCACGCTCGGGGACCTTGTTGATCCACATTAGGCGTAGACCTGCTAGACGGGCCAGCCACACCTCAGCCAGCTGCAGCGGGCCCCAGCACCACTGTCTTCACGTCTCTCTCATTCTGTGGGCCCTGGAGGTATGGCAGTTCCAGCCCTGCTGAAAGCGCAGAGTGCAGAAGGAGGGGGTGGGGGGGGGGCAGGGGATGCCTGGGGGACAGCTGAGGTGCTAGTTCTGGTACAAGAAAGGTGAAAGGTGCTCAGGGTGCAAAAGCAGCGCGGGCCCCTCCCTCCTGCCTTTCCTTTCTCCAGTCTCCTGTGGCCCAAAGGCCCCGGCAAGCCTTCCTCCACGGTCTGCTTCTGATTTTCTTTACAAAGCCAGTTCCAGCCCCCCACAGCATTCCTCGGGCCTCCCCTGGTGGAGTCCGCAGGGCTCCTTCTTTTGCTGGACAGCGTGTGGCCACTCCATCACTTTGTCCCTTTGCTGTCTCCTGCCGAGAGCTGGCCGCTGCTTGCACATAGTGGTGTGAGTGAATCGTTGTCAGGAAATTTAGGCTCTGTAGCCGGGGCATCATGTGAGGATGGAAACTTGGGGGAAGAAGCGAGAAGAAACCCAGCTCCTTCGCAGCTGTGCCAGGGACACTGCCTTGGGGGACCTTTCCCTTCCCATCAGAACCCGTGCTGAAAGGTCTAAAAAGCAGAACTTTTAGTGCTCTAGCGCCACCTGGTGGTTCCCCTTATTCCAAACTCTCCGATTATTCGCGGGTACTTGGTTTAGTTCCATGGCTTTCCTTCTCAGAACACTGTGTTGCACAGTAGACAAGTACAGGCTCGGAGCTTTTATTTGTCTAGTGTCTTGCTGCCTGCCTTCCAGGGAAGCTGCTTCCAGACAGAATGAATCTGCTCGATTTTGTTCAAGAATTCTCATGCGTTGGTGGTTGAACATCGACTACGAGGTCAACCTGCCTCAGCTTCTTGTTACTTGAAGCCAAAGACGTTCCTACATGTACTAACTTTTCCTGTTGGCCTTTAGAAATCTGTGAAAAAGAATGCGACGGAGAGACCGTGACGTACTGGGAAGTGAAGTTCCCTTTTCCCATGTCCAACAGAGATGTATCCTTGCAACACGGCACACTGCCGCTCGGCCAGCTGTCTCTGCGCTTCTCTCAACGCGCAGGGGCTAGGGGCGCTGACTGTGTAAGCACTGATTTGATAAGATCAAAGCTGATGCCAGAAAGGGTCGGCCAGATAGCTCAGCGGATTAACGTGCCTGCTTAGACACACGAAGGAACCGGGGTTTGATCCCTGGCACACCGTGCTGGCGCCACCCCCAGGGCACGCTGAGACTCCATTGAGCCTGGGCATGGTGGTATATGCCTGTAACCCCAGTGCCTGGGAGGCTGAAAACAAGGATCACTACAAGTCCGATCTGTGTAGTGAGACCCTGTAGACCCTGTACTAAATACATTTAAAAAAAAAATGATGCTAGTTGGCATTCAAAACTATGGTAAGGGTCTAAATAAAATTTGAAAAATTGTCACAGTGCAAGACACATTGCCCTTACGGTTGCACCTGTCTCGTGAGGTCCTGAATCCATTCAAAATGTTGTGGAAATTTCTACCAAATATAAACGTGGTGGTTTACACTGTGTGGTCTCGCACCCGGGATCTGGTACCACTTGACTTCTGGATGTGCCTCAGAGTGGACGTGAGCAGGACCAGTGAAGGGCTTGGATCCATGCAGGACCCAGAAGCTGCTGATGTAGCACGACTAAAGACGCCTATGAAAGAGCAACTGCAGAGCTGCTTTTGAAAGTGGTGTGAGATAAGTGTGTCCAAAGCAGGAGGAGTATCTTGAGGGAGGTTAACGGCAGTGTGTCCTTCTCTGTAATGCATTTTTCAAGTTTTGTTTAAATATTCACTACAATTTTGATCACAATGCGTAGACATAGAGTGTGCGGTGTGTGCTGTGCTATACGGTAAGGGCTCGGTAAGGAGTGGCCCTTGCTTCTTAGGGTGCGATTACCTTCCCTCCAGTAGACAGGCAGACCCAGGGGCCGTTGTGTGGATATTTACGAGGAGGAAATGGTTTTGTCATCCTCAGTAAACCACTACTGATGGAGAGAGGACATCTGCCTAGTAAATGTCCAGGCACTCACTGCCTTACTGCCGGCCATGGTTACAGTGTTGCCAACATCTCTGCAGATAGATCTGTCATCAGAGCTCAGGTGAGGACAGGACAATGCAGAATGACATCGCTGTCTCTCCAGTGCTTTGGCGCCAGGCTTTCTCTCAAGCCCCACCAAGCCAATGGAGAGCATCTTATTCCCTTTTCCTACTATGGACACTGAGTCTCAGGAGGGCGAGGCACTTGCCCTCTCTAAGTGCCTTTGGGAGAAAGGAGGAATTGTTTCCTTGCATGATTAGAGGCATCAATGAATCTTCACCAGGTAGGTGGTGAGAATCTAGGTATATGAGACACTGTCTTGCAGGACAGCCTGGGAGGCAAAGTAGGTAAACAAAGTACCAAGAGCAGGGAGCAGATGCCAAGAGGGAAGGGCAGACCCTCTTCCCTTTGCCTCCTGCTTTCAAGGTGCCCCCTGCCCCAGGCAGTGCTGGTGGTGGTGTCAAGCCTTAACCAGCAGTGCAGTACGTCTATGTCCGGCAGCGGCGAGACCTGGATGTGAAAGGGCGGAAGATCCACGTGATCCTGGCCCAGAGCATCTGTCTGCCTCAGTTTCCTGAGAAGTCAGGTGTGATCCGGGTAAATCAGTACAAGCAGAAGCTGGCGATTGAGAGCGACGGCAATCGGGGGAGCAAAGGTAAAGCCCGGGCTGCGGGTCAGCAACCCAACTGGAGAGGCAAGTCAGGTGTACAGAGCTTGGCCCTGGTGGGCAGGGCATGGACAGACCCAGGTACAAAGCAGAAGGGTGTGCACCTGAGCAGAGCTTTGATCCACCCTAGACTTGGCTGGAGCAAGGGGAAGAGGACTGGCTCAACCCAGCCCATGCTGTTCTAACTCTTGCTCTGTTCCTGATAAGATCATGTCAAAAGGAGACCAGGGGGCTTGGACCAGGGGGCTCAGAAGTTCTCTTCAGGCTGTTCCCGTGGAGCATATATGCTGAGTGGGCGGGAGGATGGGCACAGTGCTGAGCACAACTGTCTTGGAAGACATAGCTCCTGCTCAGTGCAGGGACTCAGGACTTCTCCACTTAGGGACCTCTCCACTGGCCCCTGGAGAGGCAGTGTAGGAGAGAGGCAGGCAGCCACCTGCTTTCCTGGGCTGAGTGTGGCCTGTGTCTTAGGCAAAATCTGAGCCACAGTTCTGACACTGTAAGGTTGCTGTATCACACATCTTCTCTGAATCATTTATCCATAAGATGGGCATACTTTTGCCAGTTCCCGAGGATTGTTAGGATAAGTAAGTAAGAGAGGGTCTCCAATACCCAGCAAAATATTTAAAAAATAGCAAAGTGTGAATATGACCATGTTTTAAAAAATACTTGTATAGGATTGGCCAGACAACTAAGTAGATTAAGGCATCTGCTTAGGCAGATGCAGGGGTTGGGGGTTCGATCCCTGGCCTGCCATGGAGGATGCTGAGATGGGGATTGAGACTGGGCATGGTGGCACAAGCCTTTAATCTCAGCCCTTGGGAGGGTGAAAAACAGGAGAATCACTACGAGTCTAATCTAAGTAGTGAGACCTTGTAGACCCTTTATTAAATACATTTTTTAAAAAAAAATGCTGGTGTATAAACATGCCACAAGGCAAGTCAGTGGAGAGAAGTCCATTGGAACTACCGGATTTCTGGCTATGAATGTGAGGACACAACATTTGCAGAGATTTATTGGGTGCTGCACTTTCCCAGTGTTTTTTTGTTTTGTTTTTTTTTTTTTTTTTGTCTTCCTGAATTGTCCTTTCTTTCCCCCTCTAGTTTTCATGTATCACTTCGATAACCCAGGTGGTCAGATTCCGTCCTGGCTCATTAACTGGGCGGCCAAGGTGAGATGGGGGTGGGGCGGGGCTGGTGTTTGAAAAATGTTGACTTAGCCCGGAAGCTGTCAGGCTGAAAAGATGCATTGTTCCAGGCAGAGGGAGGCTCTTTTATGAAGAGCTTGGTTGAGTGACTCCGCTTAGAGCTGGGGTTGCCAACACCCATGATGGAGATAGGGACAAAAGACAGAATTGTTAAGTTGGAATGCCAGCCCCTCCCTGCTGGTGACCCCAGTCCTGGCCAGGCCCACTGTCTGGCACCTCTGGACAATAGATTGCTCCCTGCAGGAATAATTGGGCTTTCGGACTCAGTATGTGCTTATGAAAGGGGAAGACAGACCTGGCTCGGAGGACAGCAGAGTTAGAGACACCCAGATGTGCCCAGGCCTGATGGAAACCTCTAGTTTTGTTGTTGTTGCCCCCCCCCTTTTTTTTCTTAGTAAGTGGAAAACACTGCAAAGGTGGCTTGGTCCCCTAGAGACCACCTAGGACCCTGGCATTATGGAAACCATTCACCCTATTTTGTACGTAAGTTAAATGCTCAAAGACTTTGGAGTTGAAAAATGAGAGTTTTTTTTTTAATCCTGGCCCTGCTATTGATTGCTGTCTTACTTAGTGAAGTCATGAATTTCTCCTTTAAAAAACAAACAAAAGTTTTCTGCTCCATGGCATTTAGGGAAAATCTTGTGTTTGGATCAACACTATTTAGTAGTAATGCAGCCTTCCTTCTGAACGCAAATGCTCACATTTTTCTAATTCTTAGAAAGCAAGTCCCTTCTGTTGCTTCTTTAGAAGATCCAACCATCCAGCCAGATCACATTTCTGCTGCTTTCTTTTCTTTTGAAGAAGTAAAATCTCAGAAAGTTCTCTGAGTTTTATTAGCGAAAGTCGACCTGGAAAGGCCTGTCTTATAGAAACACTGAGGGTCACGATTTCTCTGTGCTCAGAGTCTTACCTTTCGTTATTATCTGTGAAAAGATCCTGTTGAAATCTGTACAGGGACTGTGTTGTCTTTTATTGTGCTGAAAGCCATCTTTCTCTACCTCTTGCTCACCCCAGAAGCTCAGGATTGATCACTAGAAGGACACAATGCTGACAGTTTCTTTTTCTTTTGCAGAATGGTGTTCCGAACTTCCTGAAAGACTTGGTGAAAGCCTGTCAGAACTACCTCAATAAAACTTAAGAAAGACTCTGGGTGGAGTGCTGCATACCTGTAATCCCAGCATTCTGGGAGGCTGAGGCAGGAAAACTACAAGTCTGAGCCCAACCTGGGCAATTTAGAAGCTTGAAATATAAAAAGAGCACTGGGGATATAGCTCAGTGCAAAGGCTGTAGGTTCAATCCCTACTCCACACAAATAAACAGAACCTCACAAAGAAAACTGGAACTCATGCATCCATGGAGTGGCATTTCCAGAAGTGCCACAGGCCACCAAAGCTCAGGCTTCCTTCCACGCTTACGTTTCCAGAGACCTGCACACGTTACAGGGTGTAGTCAATGCCTGGCGCTTGGCAACTCACTAATTCCTCTCCCACTCACCCTGCCCCAGGGTCAGCTGTCTCTTTCTACTGTTGATTAAGAAACAAATTAAGGAAACCTTTCCTTGTTTCTCAAAGGGAAATCCTCAATAGGAAACACAGGCATTCCACTGCGCCATTTCAGAGAGACAAGTGGGTAGAGGAATGTCAACTTGTAAGAGTAACCATTCCTGTAAACTGGCTTCTTCCCAGAATGTGCTTTCTTGCAACACATGGGGCTATCTACAGCTGACCTTAGGGGCCGCAAACTGGAGACACATGTTAATTTACTTTTTGCTTTATTAACTTGACTGGACTGGGATTGGAGGGGCTGATCCAATGTTTTCCCCTGCGTCTTCAGTAACTGTTATAATATTGGACCATTTTGAGAAGCTTCAGAGTCCTAACTGACCACATAATGTGATAACCATTACTTCCTCATCATCCATATCTGGAATTTTCTGTTTCCCATAAGCCTCCAGGAAAAGGCTGCTATACCTCTGGCTGTGCATTTTCCTCAGAGTTGTGGCATCCAGACAGCTCTGGAAAATAGCAAAAGAAAGGTGCATTGTGCACAGCACTGTGATAAAGTGTCTTTCTACGCAACAAGATGAATTTGCCTTCCAGAATGTTTGGAGATGTTGAAGGGATAATAACTCACAGCCAGGTAGAATTTGATTAGTGGCTTGAGTGACTGCACCTTTTGTTCTCAGGAATTCCATGCACACCGCCTGCTTTTTCCCCACCAAAAGGACCATCAGCATCCTATGCTTTCTGAATTCCGTTGGGGTAAAATGGTCTGCATCCCAATGCATACCCTTGGTGATCTCAGGGAAATTTTTAAATCACTCTTTGGGATGGTCTGGACCTTGATTCAAGGACATAGAGTCAGAGGAAAGGACTTGCTAAAATGTGACCCTTCAGACTGTGTGTTACCTCTGGGCAGAAAAGCCATCATGTTCCATGATGAATAAACAGAGCGACTGACACTGGTGTGCCGCTTCCTTCTTACCTTTCTGCCTTGGCCAGAGCGAATTGATTGCATCTCTTCTGTTTGTACTTGACATGGGACCTAACTCGTGGGCTTGAACACTGAAAGAATTTGGAGCTCACTTATGTGCAAGAGTAAAGGTAGGTGGGTTTAGGTAGAGATTGATACATGTGCTCAAACCGACATTAGATTTGGTGCTGTTCAATTTATCTTTGGTCCTGGTCAATAGATTGTCTCCAAATGCAACAGAGAGGCCGTATCTTCCTAGGCTCATGTCACGAAAAAGAAAATTGCATTTTTTGTGAAGTTCTTGTGCCATTATATAATTTAGGTTTTCCCTAAAGTATACAGCTACCTGTGCCATAGTTACTAAGGGCACATGGATAAGATTATGTATATACAATAATTCTTCTTAAATTTATCTCTAAAACATCACTATTAGTTATGTAGCTAGAATTTAACATTAGGTAAATTAAATTTAGAAAGCCTCATGTTGTAGAGAATAAGGTGAAACTTTATGGATAAATTCTGGGAAATGCAACTCACTATCACAGCAGCTAGGTGGATCCAGGTTCTCTTTCCAATAAGAATTGGAAAGTTGTAAATATACTGTCATTTCTTTAGCATGTTGCTGTGGCTTTTGGGTAGCCAATAAGCCTTTTGTGGGTAGAAGCATGTGTTTCATTTTGACCACTGGCCTTTGAGTATAGTGTGTAGGTGTTAAAGTGGGAATTTTTTATAGTATTTCATGGGGATTGAGTGAATAAATGATTTAGAGGACACTGGATAAATGATAACAAATCCTAAAGACTAATTATCCAGATGTACAAGCTCATCCTTGATTGATTCAAGCTAAATTATTCCCCTAGGTCAGCAAGTTGGAGGGCTAGATTTCCTAGGGTCCTTCCTTGAAAGTATCAAGGTCCTGTCCCTCCTTGGATATGCAAATATTGCCATGGGTTATACTGTATGACAATATTACAGAGGTGGCACAGTAAGGACTGTGTCCACCTAGGTCAGGATTTCAGTTGAAATTTAAGGACAGAAGTAACTGTGCTATAGACATACAGTGTTTTCCACAGGCAAAGTACCCACACTCACAATTCAATGTTAGTGAGCACCTTGGAGAAGGGCACTTCCCTTGGAAATGCTCCTATTTCACACCAAGAGTCTTGGCCTGACCCCGCTCCCTGGCTGACCTTCCTCCCCCAGGATTCCCATCCGTTATACCTACCCTTCACACCCTCTGCTTCCCAGCTGCATTTAGAGGAGACAAAGCAGGAAGAGACCATTGGGTTCTTATGTTGATGAGCACCACCCATCTGGCTCAAGGAATTAGATTTTTTTTTTTGGTTTCTTATGTATTTGGTACAGGGTCTTGCTATACAGCTTGGACTCATAGCAGTTCCCCTGTTTTCAGCCTCATCAGTGCTGGGATTACAGGCATATGTCACCATGCTTGGTCTCAGTGGCTGGCTCAGTGCATGCTGGGTCAGGACTGGCTCAGCATGCGGTGCCGGGATTGAATCCCAGTCCCTGTGCTTGCCTAAGCAGGCACTTAGTCTGCTGAGCTATCTCACTGACCTGGAAATTAGATTTATAAGCATGGATACACTTAACCATTTAATAAGCATTTTTTAGAATACTGAAAGCATCCTTGAGGTCAGGCAGCAGTGGTTTCTGGAGTGAATGGGACCCCCATGGTGCAGGCCCACAAGGTGCTTATGACCTTATGCGAAAGCCACAGCAAGCCAGATGCTGGGGAATGGTGAGCACACAGGACCAACAGCCAAAGTTGAGGTGCAGCGAAGAAGCTACCCAAGCTGGCTGGGAGAAGATGGAGGAAGAAAACCATTCCAGACTGGAGATCTGTTGCCCCAAAACCCCTCCACAGAAGACTGATGCCTGAAGAACAAAAGACCAGTATGGCTGGAGCAAGGGCATGAAGAAAGGGTCTTTCGATTCCAGTGCATGTTAATTATACAGAATAGTGGATTTAATGATCTCAGACCTTCATCGAGCACTCCTTGACCTTATCCTGCCACTTTTCTTGCTCTTCCCCCCCTCTTCCACAAGGAAAGGAGTTCTATACTAAGAAATAGCTAGGCCATGAGTGGTCTTGATAGCCCTGCAAGCGTTCTGGACTTGACACCAAGAACACCAGAAAGCTTGGAAGGGTTTTAGGTTGAGAAGTGACTGGATGAGATGTATCAGGTCCTGAAAGCAGCTCATTTTCCCCATGATTGCCCAACATCTCCAGCGGTCCTTCCGTTCTGGTCCCAAGCGACATGACATAGTGCATCAAGTCCTATAACTCTGAATCTTCCTCACTGTCAGGCAGCACATAGGACAGTTCATACTTACACTGAATTTCCAAAGTGCATTATCAGCTTCTGAAGTTTACCTGGAAAAAAATGCAAATGGAAGAGGGCATCTGTCTTACCGGGTCCAACACAGCTCTCGAAGTTCCTGGGGGAAGGACAGTGAGGGGATGGAGAAATGAAGGTAAGAGACAGAAAGGTGAGGTCAGGTGGGGCCCTCTGCCCAGAGAGGAGGAAAAGAACTGCTCAACCACCGTGGCTCGTTTATACATTTGACAGATTGGCATCCCTTTGCCTAGCAACCCATTGCTTGGATCGGCTCAGGGCTTGGTGTTCTCTGGACCCCAGCAGCTTGTTCCTGTGGCTTGCCTGGAACACTCTTTGTTCTTGGACTGGGCTTGCCTCTCCCCCACACATGTGGTCAGTTTCCAGCTTCTGCCGCTCCCTACACTGCCTTAGTCACTTTTTTCGCCACTGGGACACCACAGGCACAATTTAAGAGCTGTTTACTTTGGATTGCAGTTTTAGTCCATCATTGGCTGGCTGCAGTGTGGGTGACACGGCAGAGGGGTGTAGTGAGAGAGAACTGTGTGCCTCACAGCACCCAGCAAGCAGAGAGATGTGAGGAGCAGGGACGGGAGACACACCCTTCCACGTCACGCCTGAGTGATCCACTGCTTCCAACAGAGAGGTAGCTATGTCACTCCCATGGTCCCACAGCCTTCAGAATCCCTGAATATGTCTGTGGGGCTTGGGGAGGGTGTCCTCACATGAGGCATGCGGGTGCCCAACATCTACCCGCAGCTCTCCTGGCCCATGCTGGAGTACAACACACCTTCCACTGGGGCTGTGTCATTTACAGCCATTCCCAGAGCAAGAAGCAGAGGAGAAATAAAAGGCATTTTACTTATTTATTTATTTTATTTTTTGTATTTTAGGGAAGGGTCTACAGGGTATTTAGGGTCTCACTATTAAATCAGACTTGTAGTGATCCACCTGTTTACAGCCTCCCAAGAGCTGGGATTATAGGCAGGCAGCACTACGCCCAGTTTTAATCACTGTCTCAGCAAGCCCCGGGGGCAGGGCTGGCACTGCAGGCCTGGGGGATTGAACCCCGGGCCCCTGTGCCTATTTGCAGGAGCTTTAATCCGATGAACTATTTGGCCATCCCAAAAGGCATTTTAAAAAGAAGTTCCCAGAATTCCATTCCCGGTTCAAAACAAAGTCAGTCCACTTTCTCCAAATTTCACTTTTCTATATTCATATCCAACAGTGAGAGAGATTTCTTTTTTCCTGAGAAGATGGAATTATTAATTCAGGTCACAGAGTTCACAACCAACCAGATGCAAATGGAAGGCTTTAGAGATACTATTGATTTTGCTCATATATGTGTGTATGCATGTGTGTGTCTACTTAGATAAAAGTGCTGCATTTCAT